CGGTACTCCCCTTGTTATTCAGTACTAGGTGCCGGTACTCCCCTTGTTATTCAGTACTAGGTGCTGGTACTCCTGGGGGCAAGGTGACATTTTGTCAGGTGGCTTAGGACTTTTCGCTACAAACCTTGCTCATTCTGGTCACTAAATCATCTGGCATTACTGAACTGGTTGTGTTTTTCAAGTTAAATCCACACAAATGCAAAACAAGAGCTCATTCCTGAGTTACAGCCTCATAGAGATCCATCACTGGTGTGCCGCAAAGCATTGCTCCAAGCCATGATTAAACGTGGAGATACAGTATTATGGAAATGTCGAGTTGCTAATGGAGGCAGTGGAAAATGCTGACTGGCCTAGTCCAAAACTCCTGCTATGATCTCTCAGGAACCGAGCAGCATGGTTTCTGGCAGCAGTATGGTTCTGTACAGTGTGTTTACGTTCTTTTATAGTGTAACATTGTTCTGAAGCTGCTTACCTTGGTGGCTGTCTGAAAAGTCAAGCTGCTGGGATCGTGAGGACTGTCCCCACTCACTGCCCTCTACTGCAGTCTCCTCGTCCTTAAGGTCCTTCGGAGGCGGAGGTGAGAATGGAGGCTGCAGTGTCAGTTGGAGGCTTGAGGACGGGCCAGACTCCTCCCCAGGTGTCCTCTCTGCCTCATCCTCCATCTCTGCCTCATCCTCCATCTCCATTTCCTCAGGTAGAAAAGAGTCAGACATCCATTCCTCTTGAGGCGAGTCGAGAGGGGGAAGTGTCTCTGAGGTATCTGCACGTGCCAGGGCTGTCCGGCCTCCCCGACCCCACGCCCTGCGCCGACCCCCCCCCACCGAGTCCCATCGAGAAGCCCCGCCCAAGTCCGGCTCTGAGAAGGCTATGTATGAGAAAGTGAGTTCGAAAGAGTTCTGTCGGGGCGTTCCCCACACCGATGGGCTGCTGGCTCCGCCTTCTTCATCATCGATACCGTCGTCGTCATCAGACCACTCCCGCGCTGTCTGCAACTCTGGGAAGTCTGACTCTTCATTGCCACCTGAAATCAATGAGAAACATGTTACTGTGGCTGTTCATCTATCTATCCATCCATCCATCCATCCATCCATACACTTTTCTTCCATACTGAATAATAAGTACAGGGTACATCGAGGACATGGAACTATGCAGATATTATAAAATGTTTCATTTGTACATGACATATTACATTATTATCTGTCCATCCATCCATCCATTTTTCTTGAGAAAAATTTGAAAAAAAGTTGAGAACAGAAACATTTCAAAATATATTACACGTGCTACATCGTAGATTACACTTCTATCAGCCTGTCCATCCATCCATCCATCCATCCCTCCATCCATCCATCCATTTTCCATAACCACTTATCCATCACAGGGTACACTGAGCCTGGAGCCCATCCCAGGAAGCGTAGAGCAGAAGGCAGGAGACATCACATCATCACATCATCACATCACTGCAATTTAAAATATTCCTGATAGTAACACCTAGACTTATATTAAACCTAAGGAAAGCAGCAGTATTAACTGAGAAAATGGCATTATTGTTTCAGTTTGGCAGAATGTAAAATTACAGATTAAATTGTGGCATTATTTTGTTATTTCAGGAAGAAGAATGAGAGGAAAGAGAAGCTGATTGTGTCAAGTCAAAATCATAGAATAAGTTTTTTTTCCCACAGAACATTTTTGACTGTCTGCCTGGCCCAGCAGAAAAACAGCACTAATCTCTGTGCTAAAAGCTGGAGTCCTGAGGAAACGGCAGCTGACGGTTTCCTGAAGCTGAAAGACAAAGCCAGGGTGGGTGGATCCTTACCATCGGTGCAGGGAGGTGTGGAGTCAGGTGTCGAAGAGACAGAACCAAATTCCTCTGGAACGAGTCAGAAGCAGAGAGGATCAGCACTGTGTTCACTCCTCATTCTCTACAGCAGTGTTCCCCCAGCCAGGCCATGTTTTTGCTCCCTCCCAGCTCCCTACAAATGTGGCAGGAATTTGGCAGGGAGCTGGGAGGGAGCAAAAACATGGACTGGATGGGGGGTCCCAAGGACCGGGTTTAGAAACACTGCCCTACAGTTCCTAAGACAGGGCATAGACTCCAATGCTGAAATATGCTTCAGTGCCACAAAGCTTTATTTATGGATGACAGAGATGGTCGCAAAAACAGCATTAGCCGAAAATAGCATTTCGGATCACAACCCACACAGGCAGATGTTTTCATGCGACTGTTCTTAGGTGAGCTCCAGCCTGCATGGAGCAGAGAAGGTAAAAGAGCCACCCATTAATCAGCAAGCTGCAATAGTGCGCTGCAGGGTGACAGAACACCATCGCAGCACGGATTGCCAGCTATCCCCTTAAACTGCGTGCAAAACATTTTACAAGCTGAGGAAGAAGAAACAAAATGGTTGCCTCTCTAAAGCCGCTGGACCAAACAGTAAAAGTATGATAAAATAAGAGAATAGTGTGCATTGTTAATGTATACACATTATTTATCATTTGGACTCCCCAGATTCTATCGACACCTTCAGTTCTGGTCGCTGAAAGAGGGTCAATGAACCATTTTGTCATGTGGGACATTAACTGTAATTAACGTCAACTCCGGCTTGGACTCCAAAAACTCTGGACTTCCTGCGCCGGTTGGAGACCCGGAAAGTAACCGACCGGCTAAGTGACCCCCAGAAACGGCACTTGGACAAGATCCAGCTGACTATGATGCATTCGGATGGGACGGTTTCGCCGGGGGGGGGGGGGGTCACAGCAGCGGCGGTGCAGCATCGCAGGATACCATGCGAGCGACACGTCCACATGCAAGCGTCAACCTCCACCCCCTTCTACGACCCCTCCGGTGAGCGAGGGGCTCGTTCTGTCAAATGCACCGGTGCCCCGGGTTCTCAGGCGCATCTACGCAGGGAAGGCGGGACCTCGGCACCCTGCCGCCCATCCCGATGTGTTTACTGCAAGCCATGCTCCCGGCGAGATGATGGGGGGGGAGGGGGGGGGGCGGCGGGTAGACCATCAACAGTAGCACGGATGCACCAAGAGCTACACCAACAGGCAGGAAGACGGCAATAAAGACAAAAGATACGCACTGCAGTGGGAGAATCCCAGCACCTGGCCCATGCTCCATTAAGACTCTCTGGGGCCCCTTCAGACTGGCGCTCCCCTCGCTGCCGGCCGGTCGCTCCTCTCTGTGGACCTCTCTCCCCCGGCTCCCTCTTCCGTCCCCCTCTCTCCTTTCCTTTCTTCTTCCCTCGATGCACTGCCGTCACCCAGGCTCTCTCTTGCTCGCTCGCTTCCACACCCTCCCTCCCTCTCCCTCTCTCTCCCCCCGGGCCCCTCCCTCTCTCTATCCCTCCCTCCTGCTCTGTGTATTGAATGCAGGGGAGAGGCACAGGAGAGAGGGAGGGGGGGAGTGTGTTTGTGTCTCTGTGCACATGTGCTACTCCGCCCTATTCATTCAAGGACGACTGTCGGTGTGTATTGATATGTAACACCTCTTATTCTGGACATATATGTGTGAAGCCTGTCAGTTTGTCTGTATATGTGCGCATGCTCTCTGCCTCTTATGAATTTTAATTAAGTGACCATTTTACTCCAGTTTTATTGTTCCAAGGCTCACTGTAAACAAAGGGAGCCCAGATTCATTATAGTAAATGCTATTACAACCTGCTAAGAAATAGGCAAGCAAATGGAATACTACCCAAATACTAAGTAATATTTATCCTATAGTCAATTCCCTTATAATCAACACAATTCTAAACAGATGGGGAAATAACACACATGTGATCATGAGTCAACTGGCAACTGCACCAGAGGCCTAGTGCTTTTAGTCACATGGTGTGTCAGCTGATCCACATGTCACTACAGAGGCTGACATGGGCCAAAAATGAACTAATGACTGATATCCTGAAAATCAAATGAGCATTACTCCTGATGCAACATCATTCTGATTTATGTTTCTTTTGTTGTTTTTGATCAAACATTTTGTGAAATTTTGTTGACCAAAAGCAGCATATATATACAGGAGGTGGACAAGATAATGGAGAAACTGTATAAAAAGGACTTTAACTTTGAAGTAACTAAATCACAATTACAAAAGGGTCGTATATTAGGTTGAATGCCAATAAACAATATGCACTACTTATAAAGCAGGTGTGACAATCAGCACTTTAATACGTAAGTTTTCAACATGAGATAACTGAGTTCCAAAGAGGCCAAGCAGACCTGAAATACAGATAAGACAACATAAAATAAGATACTCCATTGATCCCATGGGAAAATTTAAAAATAGTCTTTGAAACCATCATGGATATAGAAAAACAGACAAACTGCAGCAGCAAACATAACACACCTCTCAGTTAAAGCCATTGGTCATACATCAAAGCTCAGGAACCAAGGTATACAGAAACGTAAGACATGATAGTGGCTCTGTGTTTCAGTCTTGGAATAAAATCTGCACGTTGTGACCTACAGCGAGCTGGATTTTACGGCTGGGCCGGCATTTGAAAATTGCCTGCATCCAGGCCAAAGTACAATGAGGTGTAACATTGTGGATGGAGCATAAATGCCGCCCCTGATCTGTGGAATAAGGCAATATGGTCTGATGAGTCACTTTGCAACCTTATTTTCTTACATCTGTGTGGGTTTAGCCAAAGGATTCATACCGTGAAGTAATATATTCACTGTGTCACTTTTATGTAATTGTATATTTATTTATTTTATTTTTTAAGATGAGTGAGAGACATGCTATATTTACACATGTACTGTAGATGGACAGGCAGACAGACAGACAGACTTACTTTATAGATTCCCGGGGGAAATTTCTTGATTGGGTTAATATTCAGAAATGAGCATCTACCCGATGAATTACCCTTGATTCAAAATGAACTAAATGTTAGCCTGCAACATAACACACCTCTCAGTCAAGAAGATAACTCACAGTTTCATGCCATTCAAATAATTTTGATATAAAGTAACAAGGATCCATTCATATAACATTATGACAGGTATGACGTCCATCCATCTTCCATAAGTGCCTACTCAGGGTTGTGGGCCCACAACCTCGTCCAGGACGTAAAGTGAACAAGACAAGTGATATCGCAAATGCAAGCTGTCAGTCTGTTAAAGGGCAAATAAAATCACAAAGACACCTCATAGACCAGGGGTGGCCAATCTTATCTGCAAAGGGCCGGTGTGTATGTGGGTTTTCACTGCAACTCCTTAATTAGATTACTAATAAGAGGACTGATTGGCTGAAGAGTCCTCACACCTGGGTTTGAACAGCTGATCTACAGGTTATCCCAAAAACCTGCATACACACCAGCCCTTTGCGGATAGGATTGGCCACCCCTGGTATAGACACTTTGGTGTAGGTTGGGATATAGCTCAGTGGGTTAAAGCCCTTGTCTAGAAGGTTGTTGGTTCAAGTCCCATGGTCAGCAGAGTAACTGTGTCACTGCTGGGCCATTAAGGCACACTGGCTTACCCCGTCTTTTGTGCCCAAGCTTTCTGCACTGTATGGTGCTGTGGAAAGGAATGTCCACTTAAAGAAATAAATGTTACTGTGATTTCACCTAATCTGAGTTATATAAACTCCATCCACATCAGTTTTGGAGTTTAGTTAGAACATGAGTATTTGAGCAAAATTATTAGTTTTTATAGATTTTTTTATTTAGGTGTGAATTGTGCAGGCCACTCTGTTTTGGGAGTGAAGTATATGACTTGAGAATTTATGATGAAATGAAATAATGCTTTATTTGCCATTTGCACTAGCACAAGTACAGATACATTGGAATGCTTCTTTTCGCATTTCCCATCTTGCTCTCCTTTGACATGAACACACTTATATGTACAGTGCCAGTCAAAAGTTTGGACACGCCAAGCTGCCTACGAAGGAGAACGATAGTGTCACATCACATGACCCACATGTAGAAATTGTTTTGGAGGAGTCTAACTAGAGAATGAAGGCTCAGCATATGTGGGGCCTCCTTCAGGACAGCAGGAAAAGCATCCCATTGGGTCAGCCAGTCCCTGGAGCAGTTTGGGTTAAGGGCCTTACTCAGGGGCCCAATGGTGGGATCGCGCTGCCAACCATGGGATTTGAACCAGGAACCTTCTGAGTCCCAACCCATAGAGCTGCCCCCCAACAAATAATAATACTTTTTTGGCCAGTGCATAACCCATATTTTTTATTTTATAGTTTTGATGTCTTTAAAATTGTTCTAAAATGTAGAGAATAGTACAAATAAATCTTTCTATGGGTAGGTGTGTCCGAACTTTTGACTGGTACCGTACAGGTGAATGCGGAGCTTGGGGTCCAATCGCAGGGTCAGTGCCTTCATCTGCTGCCCTGGGAGCATTTCTGGTTTTAGTTCTCTGGACATCAAAAGCTCATGACTAACAGTCACAGCTTTGATAAAGTTGTCTACTCTGCTTCTGGCTGAACAGTCAGCTGCCCCCCCCCCCCAATTTGGGATCTAACTGTCAACACCTAGTGCACAGGTGGTCTGGAGAGGTCGGCTAGACTGAAGTGCAGAGAAGAATACTAGAACAAGATCAAAAATCAAGCCATTGAGTGATCGGTGAAAGAAAGAGAAAAAGAGAGCTCACAGACCTCAGTCAGGGATCAGGGATGGTAAGCAGAAGAACAGACATTGTAGTAGCTAGTAGCAATTGATCAGAGGGGGACAGGCAAAGAGTGAAAGAGTAAGGATGACAGTGGTGACACCCATGCTTTGGTCTGTGCTTACATCAAAAAACTCCATGCTGTTTAAAGATGAAACCAATGAGGCAGAATTAATAGATATTCCCTGTCTTAATAAGGAACTTTGTTTCCTCCCTGTGGCAGCGTTGATGATAAGTGTATCACGTCGCCCTCTTGTGTCCAGGTGGACCTATAACAATTTGCATGAATTAGTAGCAGTCAGTAGTTACTCCTATATAACTGAATGTGTTTATTATTCCTAAAGGTACTAAAGATTTAAACACATTCTTTGCTGTGTCATTGAAAGAATTATTTTAATTGCTACTTATTCAGAACAAAAAGTGACATGAACGCAATAGCGCGGTGAGAGGTCAGGTGCATTACGGTCGGAGCGCGCTCAGTGTGTCATGGTAGTGCTTAGTAGTGCTGACCAATAGCTGAGTCACCTCTCCTGTATTATCTAATACAATATATTGCTTTCATGGCAGTTTGCTGGGTGGTCATGGAACAGCAGCATCCGGGGTGCCGTGCATTATCCAGCTCAGTAAAGAAGGTGGAGATTAAAATGGGGGAGGGGATGGCTGTGTAGGGATAAGAGGACAGGAATAGATGGATTAATCGCGGCTTGGAAAGTCATAGATGGTGCTACTTCGGGGCAAAAGAAAGCGACACTCTACGACAGCCATGAGGACGAGTCGCAGGTCGAGCAAGGCGGAGGTGCCCTCCTTCCTGCGGCAGATCATCAAGGAGACAGAGCGGATGGTCGCATTTTTCTTTAAGGGGACCCAGGGGCAAGATGGGGGTGAGGAAGAGGAGGGGGAAGATGAGGAAGAGTCCAGTGCCTATCTGGAGCGGCCCGTCCTGGAGAAGCACCTGGAGGAGGGGAGTGATAGGTGCGGCATCAGCTACGCGGTGGGCAGCATGCAGGGCTGGAGGTCACGCATGGAGGACGCGCACACCTGCATCCCCGAGATGGCCGCAGACATGTCCGGCTGGGGTTACTACGCCGTGTACGACGGGCATGCCGGCAACATGGTAGCCGAGTACTGCTCCAGACACCTGCTGGATCACATACTGGCCACAGGTTACACCGCCTCCATTTGCTGCTTTTGGTCCACAGCAAATAATAATCTTTAGTCAGATTTGTGAAGGAGTATCCATGACACGACGCTCTTAAATCATACAGGCTGTCCCCGGGTTAAGAAGGTCCGACTTAAGGACACGTCATACTTACAAACAGACTGCCATACAGTATATTATATTAAAAATTTGGGTTTAATACAGTGTTTCATAATAACGAATGCTCACACTACTTTGTGACGCTCATGAAAACATTGTGCTGCCTCAGTGGTTCATGAACTTCGAGGTACAGCACAGTATGGTATATAGTTACATTTATAGGTATATAGTTACATTTATAGGTATATAGTTGCATTTATTATTTCTGCATAATATTTATTGTTGTTCCTGCTAATCAAACTGAATGTTAAAACAAAGTCTCATCCCTACTGTCAATGGTCAGATACACTGAAACAGCAGAAATTGGAATCAGCTATTTGTTTACTCTGTAAAAATGTCTTAAAATTTGCATGGTGAAAAAAATGAGAAGTATGTAGGCCTAAATTCCCTAATAATATTTGGTTGATATCTTTTATTTGAACAATATTAGTTGAATTATGCCTAAAACAAGGTAGTATAGTGACCCAGGGACCCAATCAGCCCCTAAACCGCCACCCCTCTAAATACTTGCACTATACTGACAGGGATATGCACCCTGCCATCCATACCCAAATCTACGGCCTTGGCTCAGTGGGCAGTACTGTTACCTCACACCTGTAGGGTTTGGGATTTCATCATATTCATATGCAAATTCTTCATGTAGTGTTCTCCCCCTACAGGCAGAATTAAAGCGGAAGATGACCCAGCGGAGGTTAAAGAAGGGATCCGAGAGGGTTTCCTGAACATCGACAGGCACATGCACAGTCTGGCCCGCAGTGCATGCTGGGACTGCAGTGGCTCCACCGCCGCCGCCGTCATGTTCTCGCCGCGCCGCATCTACCTCATCAACTGCGGCGACTCGCGGGTGCTGCTGTGCCGTCACGGCCTGGTCTGCTTCTACACCGAGGACCACAAGCCGTGCAACCCGCGGGAGAAGGCGCGCATCCAGAATGCCGGCGGCTCCGTCACCCTGCAGCGCGTCAACGGCTCGCTGGCTGTCTCCCGGGCCCTGGGCGACTTCGACTTCAAAGAGGTGGCCTGGCGGTCACAGACGGAGCAGCTGGTCTCGCCCGAGCCCGAGGTGTTCCAGCTGGAGCGCTCACCCGCAGACGAGTTCCTAGTGGTGGCTTGCGATGGCGTGTGGGATGCCATGGACAACGAGGAACTCTGTGCTTTTGTGCGCGACCGGATGCAGGTCACTGATGACCCGCGGGAGGTCTGCGCTCAGGTCATAGACCTCTGCCTCTACAAGGTCAGTGACGGGTTACGACACCCTGCATGTACCCATAATGCCTTTAGAAGGAAATGCACGTGACACCCATTTTACACTTCCTGGAGTACTTGGTCCCAGCTCAAGGCGACATACCTTTACATTTATTTAACAGACACATTCGTCCAAAGCTTATACTTTATTATTTTGTGGAGGGGGGGTGAGGAGCAGGGTCAGACAGTGAGTAGAGTAATTGGAGGCCTTGGTCAAGGACCCAATGATGAAATCACTCTGCTAACCATGAAAACTGAACCATCCAATCACATCCTTAACCCACTAAGCCTCACATCAGCCCAGGGGCATCAGAGGGGCAAGGATACTCTGGCAGATACAAGAGCCTCAGCACTTTATAGGATGGGGGCCATTGATAAAGTGCTAATCCAAGCGGGGCCAGAGGAAACATTATGTCGGGGGGGGGGCAGAATTTCTAATATATCCCAAATATAGTATCTACAGTATGTGCAGGAAAGAAACAGTCCCATCCCCACAATCCATTTCAGGGATGTGAGTGTGTGATGTGTACGCAAGTGTGCCTTCAGGAAATGGGTACTTGCAGAGACTTGCTGTGGGGAACATTGCACAGAAAAAAGCCCCAAAGCTGAACCCTGCATCCAGTGTGACATTCACTGGCATGCTGTTGTGTCCATAAGCCCCTTTTATTAAGTGAAGGTTGATCTTCTGTCCTCTAAGGAGCAGGATTAGCAAACAAGTGCAGGCTATGCAGTTGAAGGATTAGGGGAGAATTTGTGACCAAATGCAAGCCAAAGCTGCTTTGACAGAGGTGACTGCTTGCCCTTCTTCAGGGAGCCACCTGGTTTATCAGTGAAACGGCCCCTGCTTTAGGGAGAATAACCCCCCTCATCATACCGCTCCATCCATCCTGCATCCTCCAAGCATCCCTAACCCCTACAACTGGCTTGCTGATCTTGTTTTTCCCAGTCGGGTCCTTGGGCATCCCCAGGTCATCCGCGTTTTTGCTCCTTCCTAGCTCCAAGTAGGTAGCAAAAATGTGGACTGTTTAGCAGGGAGCTGCAATGGAGAAAAACGCGGACTGTGGGGGTCCTCGCGGACCTGGTTGGCAAAACCTCATCTAGAGGTATGATTCTTGCTTCACATGTGAGAGGTCCTGGGTTCTAATCCCCAATGAGCCGTTATGTCTGCAGTCCCCTTCAATATTACTAAAGTATCGGCCTCTACCCTTCTGCTTTGTACCACTGTTAGTTTACTTACTCAGGTATTACTCTGTGCAAGCTGAAACACAACAATAGAAATGCATGCTAGCATTTGCAAAAGCTTAAGACAATCTCACCCTCCTTCTCAGCCCAGAGCCTGAACATTCAGTACCACGACAGACAAGACCAACAGATTCCTTATGGGAATCCTAAATTAACCCAATCTCATTACAAATTGGTCCCTGACCTTGACTGAAGTGTTGTCCAGGCCCACGGCGGCGCCGCTCGAATCAAGCGAAGCTACGAACTCATGCCAAGCTGTAAATAAACCTGCCGACTGCAGCTGCCTGCAGACTCCATGCACACATTAGCAGAACAAGAACCCCTTCGGTCGGGTTTTTTTCAGTCTCACACCTTGTCCTTGGGTAGGTGCCCCAGGCATTTGGCAAAGGCAGAGGTGTGGTCCAGATTGTTCCCTTTGTTCAGTCACCATGACAACAGCCGTGCTCCTGGGAAGCTTGAGAACCTGAATAAAAGACAGGATGTTCTGGAGGATTTTGGTAGCCAGGAGTCCACAATGACTTGACGGCACCCAATAATATTAAAATAGCGATTAATCGTTCCAGTTGTTATTTTCATTTTAATCATCACTACAGTGGAGGTTCTAGACCAATTCAAGTTGGGGGCCAGACTAGGACCACTTGTTCTGTTAAGGGGATCAGATGCATTTCACCTTAATGTCCTCCAAGTATTGCTTATACAAGACTGCCAGCATTAAGAAGCAAAAGACAATTTTGAAAACCAATAAGTTATTTATACAATGCTTTGCAGTTTCATGTTATAGTTTTTACAGACATGTAACTCTGATTTCTTGTTTAGACTTGTTTATTTTTCCCGTCGTTAACTTCGCGTTTCACCAACTGAAGCGACTCGACCCCCCCCGGCACAGCCACGTTAAGAGTCTGTCAAGAAACTGTGCTTATGTTTGTGTTTTTCCTGTTCCCAGCACTAAACATTTTACCCCACATATACAATGCAAATAATAATAATAATAATAATAATAATAATAATAATAATAATAATAATAATAATATAGCCCCTCTATAGAAAATTTCCTACAGGAACTTCAGGCACATAGTAACAAGAATCATGTGTAATGGTGTGTGTGTGTGTGTGTGTGGAGGGGGGAGGGGTTGGTGTGGAAGGTAATAGTTAATTAAGTGGCTACACCTGGGTTGTTAGGGATGTGGGGTTAAAAGAGGGAGAACGGAGAGTGCAAGCGAGGGGGGGGGAACCGCGCTCGTTGGTTCTGGGAGGGAGGTACCGCTCGTATGCCGTTTCGGGCTGCCGGCGGTGAAGCCAGATCGCGGGCTGCAGGGACAGCTTCCGGTGTGGTAGGGGGAGGACAGTTAGGAAGGGGGGTGGTTAGGAGTGCATGATCGCTGTTTAATCCGGGGTGTTTGATAGATGTGAACAGCGGCATCCCCAAAGTGACGGAACGGTGGTGGAATTCCCTTTGCGCATGGTGTCCTAGATTACGGACCTGTGTGAGCGTTCCCTCCCCAGGGGAGGGTCTTGAGAGGGGGGGACGCTACGTTTTAATCTTGTCCTTGTTTGTATGTTTGTTTTGTGTGTGTTAAGTGAGCAGCGTAGCCCGCTAGGGGTCAGGGCGGGACTATAGAGGCAGTACTGGTCCCCTAACGCTTGTCTGTGCCCGAAGTGTGGGGATTACTGGGTATTGCAGTGCTATTGGTGTGCCGTGCCCTGATAGGGATGTTGTGTGCTGTGGGATCCACTGTGTGGTAACGTGGGTTAACACGTTTGGAAGGGTTGGTTTGCTACGGGGAGACAGCGGGGCCGAACCCTTTGTGAACCCAGACCCGACCCGATGGGTCGCTGCATGAATTGTACTGAATAAAATAATTTTTTGTAATCGTAGTTGAAGTCTTGTGGTGGTCTATTCTCCCTTTACAGCCTCCGACGCTATTGTAGGTTTATTACACATGTCTCTCCCCACGCAGGGTAGTTTGGACAATATCAGCATTATCATCATCCGCCTCTCTGGCGCCCCCAAGGTGTCACCGGAGGCACTGCAACGGGAAGCTGCCCTGGAACAGCTGATTGAGAGCAAAGTAGCAGGTAGAGATGGATTACACTGGATGAATGGTGAAGATAATAATAATTATAGAATTTGTTATTGGATAGTATTATTGTGTGTGACCCTAGGTTTAGTGTGAAGCCATGTACAGTGTAGAACATTTGGTTTCCACATAAGGATACATTGCTCTGGTTCCGCAGACATCTACCAAGAGCTAAGATCAGAAGACCAGGGCCCTGACCTCCTGAAGGTGATGAAGCACCTGACCTCGGAGAACATACCCGGACTACCACCAGGTGGCGGCATAACCAGCAAGTGAGAGAGCACGGGGAGGTGGGGTGGGCAGGGGGTAGCTGTGACAAGATTCATGTTCCACTTGAACGGATGTTCCATTCAATTGAGTAGAGACAGAAAATTAGAATACTAGAAGTGGCAGTGATTAAATGTCAATTATATGATTTTAAAATTGATTGTTACATATTACTGAAACAGATCAGTCAAGCGCTGTGCTTATTAACAGCATAACGTGAGGCTCCTTACCTGCACGGCTCCCTGTTATCTCGCTTGACTCCTTGATCTGTTTTTTGCAGACGAGACTGCATCATAGCCTCCTACCAGAAACAGGTGCTGAAATGCAAGGCGCGGAAATTCACGGTAAGGGAACAGAAGCGACAGTTACTGCAAGCACTTTTCTTAACTTTCTTGCAGGTTAATGAGAAATATATAAACACGTTACGATAATTGTTTGTGTACGAGTTAAAAATAACATCTCATATGTGCATGTTTACCAGAGATGCACTGCTTCAGAATTAAAAATTCATATTTGTAATTATTTGTAACTGCAAAATCGTAATTCTAAAATTGTGCCAGTAAAGTAATTAAATAAATGTGCCACTCAGAGGATCCATTTACTCCTGGAGTGCAAACCATTGACCCACCTGTCATTCCAGGACATCAGCGGTCCTGAGGACTCCTGCTAGATGCGGTTCCCATGGAAACAAAATCATCAGCCCTGCATCTCCCTAGCAACAGCTCTGACTTTGCTAAAAAGAGGGACCCTTCGTCAGCAACAACGATGGATTTTCTGTATGCGACCTACTGAACAAAGGGTAGCCCTACCAGAGGAGAAGGTCCAAAATCGATGTGCGAAATGTTAAGTGTTTGTTGTTCCATCTGAGTACTACAGGTGCCCCTGGACTCTGACTCTGTAATGCTCACTAAGCAGAAAACCTTCTCCACAAATTAATCTCTCTTAATGTGTCTAAAGAGATAAATACAGGCACAGCGATAACAACACCAGCAGAGTTTAGAAAACTTTTTGACAAAAACTATGTCGAAAATATATGCGTCTGGCCTTTATATGGTTTTCTTATTTATTTTCATAGCGTCAGACCAACAATGCTTTAGCAGGGAGCCATTTAGCTACAATATGTTATAAAATAAATCCCGAATTAACACAGCACCTTGGCAACATCAATAATAATGACAATAATTTACTCCTTAGTATAATTTGAAATGCAAAAATGAAATTAAGGCTTGCATCCGACATACACTGACGAAGGCAAGTCAGATGCACGATCTTCCCGGAAGTTCAAGCGGACTTTTCTCGGCATGATCGATTTTTTTTCTTTCACACTCCTGTACTATATATTACATGTATATTCATTGCAAGAAAAGAAATAAATCACTGAAATGTGTTTGTCGGATTCTGTCACTTCATTCATTGAACAGTAATTAGTTGTTTGGTCATCATAGATGAATACCACACCGCAGATGGCAGTTTTAACGTCCGCGTGCCGCTAATGCCCGATTAGGGTTCTGGCCGATCGGGCAAGATGAAGCGCGCGGACCGCAGAATGTCTTAGCGGAGTGTGGCGGCCGCTAACACGACCGTGCTAACTCTCATGTTTAATATAAAAGGCAAATGCAAGCCCACGCTGATCACAAAAGAGAAAGACGAGGGCGAGATCAGAGAGCGCAAAACAAGAGGGCAAACCAGAAGAATCAGGTACTGAGTAATTACTGTAAAGTTTATGGATACGTGGCCCTAATTTATACCCTGTTTTGTGCTACTGGGACTTTGGTGTCTCTAGGAATTATTACGTAATTAATAAAATGTCACGGAATAAAATCAATTTTGCACTGTGGCAGAAAAAATAGAATAAAGAGTGATCAGAAATTTTAATTGAATGAAAAGATAGTGGACAGTTGCGTTCTGTACTTTGCTAGTAGATAAAAGCGCGTGTCCTTTGAATATACGAATATGTATGTATTTTACATTTAGATATACCTCGTTTGCTTTGTTAATTTATACTATGTTAAAGTAACAATTAATAGTTTTTTCCTTGATATGAATGAAACTCATTTAATAAAAATCAAAATTCTGATCATGTAGTGTATGGATAATACGTTCCATAATAAGAATCACAATATCATACTGCAGCAAAGTCTGTAGAAAGTTAAAATGTATTTACAAGTTTCAATTTCTGGTTAAATGCTTATTAAAAATCAAATATTGAAATTTACCTGCAGGCAAATCACTGTTGTGTTTCTAATTGAAACAAATATTAATAACAATCAATCAAATCATGAATGATAATTATTAATTATGAGTAATTAATAGCCCTCGTGGAGTATTCGTTTTTAACATGCTTTTACTGCCTTTGGCTCTCTTACCAGCTTCACTCAGAGAAAATGTCACTGGGGGCAGAAGGTGACCCGAGCTCCGGCAGCATGGCAGCCAGAAGAGCCGCAGGTTCGACCCCATGCGGTCCGGGGGGGTCTGAGACGGTCCCCCTCCTAATATCAGGCATCGCGTCGAATTCTCGGCTTCACTTGGCACCCATGAATAAAAAGGAGCTGTTGTCGGTGGTCGGGAGCCCTGGATGGCGGAAGCTGCACGCCCTTCTCGGGTCGCTCTTCTGGGTCGGCTGGTTGGCCACGGTGGGCGTGGCCATTGTCGTCATCGCACAGAGCCCCAACCCTGCGGCGCCACGTCTACGCTGGTGGCAGAAGGCGCCCTTCTGCCGGCTACAGGCAGCCCTGTTCTTAGACTCTGGGCATACGGGCGCGAGGGCGATTAACGGTGAGTAGCTAGCGTTGTGCGTCGGTCGGGGGGGGAATGAGCACAGCACAGCACAGCACATCACACACCATATGCCAGACAGCAAACATGACTGGCTCTTTTTTCCTGCTTTACTCTACTGTCCCTGGGATGCCTCAAAGCCCCATTTTAAAAAACTCAGATGTCTAAGACAATGACAATAACTGATACCTATCAGAAGAGGCTCATTAACGCGGTCAGAGGCTCCTGGGATATATATGTTGAGGCCCCCCCTTGCTAATTTGGTGAAGGCAGGGGTGCCGCTAGAGATCTTGAGCCACATAAAAACATTATATTGGCCCCCCCAGCCCAGAGCAATCTAATTAAGCTCCAAATCTTTTAGGGCCCCTCAGGGACCCTTAACTCCACCCCCCTTTACAGCACTCCTGGGTGATGGAAAAATTTGTTGACCTGTGGGGGGGGGGGCGATGGTAAAAGCAAGCCCCCTTTATGAGGTCCATTTTAGCAGAGGCCTACCTGGCAAAAGCACAGAGAGATCTACGGTGAAAAGGAATTACTTTAATTCACTGAACAATAGCAGAGAGGTAAGAGAGTTCAGGGGGAACTCTGTGCTGGCGTCGCTCCAGATCGCTCCTTCGAGACCAACTGCAAAATCCAGGAAGTCACACAGCAGATATAGGCAGCGTTACGTAAGGAGAGGCCTCTCGTCACTGGCATATTAATGGACACTGTACATCAAGAGAATCACATCACGTCACCAGCTAATAAACTGCTTCTAAGAGATAGATTTAGAAGAACCATTATGACATTTAAGTCTGTGGCTACACAATATAGAATTGTAATGACAGATTGCATACGCCAGTGAAATGTGGTACAGAAGAGTAAAATGAATCCTCCTCATGTTTCCTTGCAAACTGCCATTCCTTACTATAAAACACATCTGATGTAATGTATCTGGATGTGGGAAAGTAGGTTACGCTGAGCGTGTCTGAGGAAGCCTAGGGTGGATTTCTAGGATATCGGCTATTTGAAACTCCAGGAAACACTTCAGCTAGCACACAAGTGGGGATTTCCTTGCCTGGTGACATTTTTGCTCTCATGCCATCTCAGACCACGCAATCTCCCAGAATTCCCTTGAAAACACCAAGGATCCCCCTCTCCTGAGTAATAATGGACTATTCCGGTTCATAATTACATGCACTCGTGCCATGTTACCCATGACTACTTAAACCCCCTGGTTACTCTTCTTGTTGTGAGGTCTTGTGTCAGTTTTGTGGTAGGAGTTGCGGTCTGAGTTTTAGTTTTGGTTTCTCTGGTGTTTGACCTCTTGATTTATTTGTGATTTTCTCCTTTTGGGATCATCCCTCATTTTCAATTTGCACCTGATCTAACTGTGGCCCAAACTTACTTGGGTGATGCTTTGGCGTTTCTTTGGACTTAGATGTTCAGTAGCTGTTGCAAATGACAGGTCTACAGGAACCATGGACTGGAATGGATGGCTTTGCTGAAGATGATTATGTTCCACATTTCACACACTATGTTCTCGGTCACCAATGAAATGAACTGCAGTGACACTAAAGGCAATAATCAAATAATATACATATAAGGTTTGTAATGAACTGATAAGCTAACATTTACACCTGTCATCAAACCGGTTTGGACTGGTTCTGTAGCAAGCTGGCTCTTTGTCAGCTGTATGCTTGTGATGTATTATTTGTATATCACTTTGGACAAAAGTGTCTGCCAAATTATAAAAAATAAATGCAGAGTGAAAGTATGGAATAGCATATGAAATTGTTTTTATGGAAATTTCCCTTTAAAAAGACATCAGTTTGGGTCCTGGTATATATAGTAAACAGACCATGGCTGCTGTCGCTTTCAAATGACAGGAAGCCCTGCAGGAATATTTTTGCACAATTCAACATATTACATGCTTGCCACATGAACATAAACACATGTGCACTAATCACAACTGGCTTTTGGGTTAGCAAGCACCTCGTGCGTAAATGTCGTGTTATTTTGGCAGAGGTGCGTGACCGCCTGCCGTACCTGCGCAACCTGGGAGTGGGGGCCCTCATACTCGAAGGCCTCTTTCCCAGGGGGCTCCCTGCTCCTGCCATCACGAAGCTGAACGAGTCCCTGGGCACACTTCTCCAGTTCCAGCAACTGCTTGCCGAGGGCCATAAAACAGGTGAGTGATAGATGCTGGGACAAGCATTGCATTATGGGAATTAAAATAGCTCATTGTGCCAGTACCGGCTGTCACTGTTTAGCTTAAGGATATAAATAAAAAATGATAGTATATTGTGTACATGTGGGTATGTATATAAATTTTACTCTATTTTGTGGTTGCCAAATTTTCAGAGAACACCCTCACAAATGGTCAGAACTCAAAATCCAGAAGTCGGGTGAACAAGAATAAAACATTCTGGACTAATGTTTTGGGTGTCAGAATGGGGTTGCCGGAGCCTGAACCAAAATCTGGACACATATTTATTTTGTGGGCAATGAGAGCCATGAAACTGATTGATGTTAGGGCAATCTGCCCTTGAAGAAAGTAAAATATAAACACCTTTCATTTATCATACTATACTGAGTTTTATTTACTTGTGGGAGTTTAACTTACACAAAAATATTCTGGGGACAGAAGGAAAAACTATTGGTTCAGAGAGATAACCAATCAGATTGTAGAAGAGGTGGATCTAAGCAACGAGAGAGGCATGGCCAAGACACCTGATTGGTTGGTCCTGCCTTGGATCAACCTCCTCTACAATCAGATTGGTTATCTCTCTGAACCAATCATTCTTCCTTCTGCCCTCAGAATATTTATGTGTAAGTAAAACTCCCATGAGCATTTTATTTGATTTAGAAATAACCCATTGTAGTTACAGTCCACGGAATGTCCCATCAGACAGTGGCACAAATATGTTTGTGTGTTTCAGTTTCGAGAAAATCCCATAGTGGTTTCCATCTTCTCACTCAGATATGAGAATCTTGTTGGACCTCTGTGATTTGGACTTTAGAGATTCAAGCACCCTCAACTCAAGTGACCAGACAGAAGAGAGCACAAACCCAGTACTGGTAACTGCAAAATTGTCAGGAGAAATGTAATAAACATCACAATGTTTAACAATCACTTTTAATACTTTTTTATTGTATATTTTTTCTCTTCCCCTGCATACACAAAGTCTAGCTTTGTTTTTTCGAGATTTGACGATGGATTGCTGCACAAGCTAGGTTTCCATAAACGGGCCTGTCTGTTGTGTGGGTGTGTTTTATTTTGGGGGGGGGACCAGTAAGAGGGAGGGAGAATGGTTCATAATGTTTACAAATGTTTACAATATTTAAATCGGCAACTTGTATTATTGGATGCCTATTTCTTCTTCAATAAAGTGTTGCAACATAGCGATTCTTTTAGCGAATCTTTGGCAGGGCAAACCGGCAGCTTTTATCGGCATATGAAGCGTGTTCACATGAAAGCTAACACACCATATTCCGCAACAGCAGCGCTAACTGTTCATGGGTTTTGTTCACAGCCTGGCCTGCGGTTTTGGTTGGAACAAGGCGTTGGAGGATTCAGCATATGCGACACAGATGCGGCTTATTCAGTGCATGTGGGTCTACAGGGGAAAACGGCACAGCATCAAGCGTCTTTCACGCATCAGCTGCAGCAGCAAACAGCAGAAACTTCAGTGCCTCCGAAATCAAGTTCGCTTTGAGCGTTCAGAAGCAGCATGAGGGTCTTTTCTGTGTAGTTCAGGTTTTCTGGTTTCCCCCCCCCCCCCACCCCCACACAGACGCTGTTGGTGTGGAGAGATCTCATGCGGAACTTAAGTCAAGAGGAAAATGAGAGGTACTCGTATAATGACCTTTTAATTAGGGAGTGTATTTATTGACTTGGAAGCACTGCAGTTAAAAATGCGGGCACTTTCAATGTGTTTACTGTAAACAAATACAGGGTGTGGCCGATACCAAGAAAATGAAAGGAAAGAGAGAGAGAAGAAATACGGCGTGAAATCTTTGTTGGTTTTTTGGATCATTTTACATTAATATTTATATTTGTCAGATGTTTGTCCAAAGCAGTGTGCAGGTAGGGAGAACAGAGGGATGGCCTTCAGTTGGTCGGTGCTGCAGCTGTTCTGCTACTTAGGAAACCCTCACCTTCAGCTGTGGACATCCCTCCGTTTTTGCTGCATTCAGGATTCTGGTGGTGAGCAAGGCAGAGGAGACCGGACCACGGCGCAACGTGTCTGACCCCGTGGGCAACCATTCACTGGTGGACATGATCACAAGAGCCTTCCTTCCCTGGTCGCCTCGGCCGCTATCCGCGCAGGATGTCGCGGTTGCCATGGAGACACACCTGCTAAGACCCCAGCGAGAATGGCCCAGCTGGACGGTGGGGAGATTTTAAAAACCCTTCCCTGCTTTGACTCCTGCACGGTCCACTGCATCTCAGAAAATGATTTCTGCTTTTTAATAAGTGGATAGAGGAATTGTATAAGCAGTTATGGATGAATGGAATTAGCAGGTAATGGGTACGAACTGTCAGTGAGGTGACGCTCTGGCTGTAGGTCGGGGGGGTGCTGCCTGGAGAGCTGCAGAATATTCTCATGGTGCTTCTGATGACGCTGCCTGGGACTCCGGTGATCAGCTATGGGATCGACATCAGCCCGTCGCAGGTCGGTGGTTCTGTCACTTTTTAGCTATAGATGTACAGATCCGTGCGTTATTTAATGGACCCACCCACTCAGACTGAACTGGCCCTCTGATGACAATGCTGCCAGATTCACGCCCTGTGAGGAGGATGGGCCTTAGAGTTGGGGTTTGAGGCCTAAGGAAAGTCTGGCAAAGACAGGAGAAGTATCCACACGGGTAGGTTCTGAGGAGTGTCTCTGTTTAGTCCATATCTGGAATCCTTCCTTAGCCTGAGTGGTCATGTCAACTTTGGGCCCTTGAGCTTGGGCCCTTAACCCCAATAGCTCCACAGTTACTGGGTGCTGGCTGCTCGGCCACCGGCGCCCCCCCCATCTGAAGCAAAGTGACTGGCAAGTCTGTGCCCCCTGCGGCCGCCTGCGTCCCCTATAGGATCGACCGGCCCTGGCTGTATATGTGTGTCTATGTCTTTCATAGAGAGCAGGATGGGAAATGGAGAAGCTGCCCAGTTTCCCCATGGGGATGAATGTAGTGCTTCTGCGGTAGTTTATCTTTTGTGCTAACACTGCCTGTCTGTAAGCCAGTGGCCTTCTGTCCCTGTCCCTGTCCCTGTCCCTATCCCTGTCCCTGTCCCTGTCCTGCTCGGCTTCCCGCAGGTCCGCAGGAGACCTGGACACTCAGACTCAGCACTCTTTCGCTCCCTCAGCCAGTTACGCTCCAGAGAGGAGGCTCTTATTCTTGGGAAGCTCACCTTCCTCTCCCTCAGTAACTCATCCCAAACCATCCCCGGCTCTGCCCTTCCCCCATCGCCCCCCACCCTGGCTTTCCTGTGCTCATGGAGCTGCACACGCATCTTGGTGCTGCTCAACCTGAGTCCAGACATCCAGCGCCTGGACCCCAGAGGGGTCCGCAGCCTCCCCGCCGCCGGAGTTTTCCTACTCAGCACGGGACCGGGTCGCCTGGGCTCCTGTGTCCTAGAAACACTCCAGCTTCAACCTTGGGAGGCAGTGGTAATTAAATTTTAGCTTGGATGCTTCACCTAAACTGCATTATTCCTTGAAGAAGCAAAGTTACCCGAGCCTTAAAATTTAAAGCTGCGTATGTTTTGCTAAACGTTTGGTTCCTCAAATGACCACAAGGGGGCAGCACTTACCTATGAGATGTTGGTCAAGAGTCGTTGATTTGTGCCACTGTGCGATGAGGGTGACAAAAGCAGATTTGCGGCGTGATTACATCCAGTCACATATTTATAAGATACGCTGACTGATGACACATAACTTCAAAATGGATATAACATCATCCCAGCTAAATGCATTGGGGTGCTGTGTGGTTCAGCTGGCTAGGATGCTGTTGCTGTGATTAAGTGGTTATTGGTTCAGATCCCAGGGTCAGCAGACTGATTGTACCGTTGGGCCCTTGAGCCAGGCCCTTGGCTGACTCATTGTTCTCAAAAATGTACATCACTTTGGATATAAGTGTTCACTATACTAAGTAAATGTAAAAAGCAAATGTGTTAGACATTGTACCTGAGGTATTGGGGGGTGGGATCATGCAGACCGACACATAAATTACTGAAAACTCTGGTCCCTAAAACTGTGTGTTATCAGCTGCTTATTGCTTGCTGTGTAAGTGGGACATTTATTGATGCATATTTATGTCATTTTTGGTATTAATTCAGCGCACGCATATATTTTGTCTTCAAAATATAACTTCAGAGAGCCAGGCAGTTTAACTTTTTATTCAAACCCGAGCCCATTGCAATGCTTTCATGTGACTTGGTATATAATGTTCCAATTGAGCATGTTCTTTTAATGGTTACCTAAATGTTTATTTAATTGTCTGCTGGACATGCAGCAAACAGCTTAAATTAAATCTCTTACTCCTTAAATCATATAAACTAGCTATAGGCCCTGTTTCTAGGAATTAATAAAGCTGATACTAACCAAAGGTTATTTATTCAAGAATTATCATTAACGTATTTAGGGTGTTCATAAATTCATAAATTCATTTAGATGCTCTGTCTTTGGGCTTCTCAGCATGGCTTGTTAAAGGCAGTGACTCAACAGTATTCGTTCCACAACAAGATGCTTGTCCCTTTTATCAGCTCTGGTATTACATTTGTTTAGCAGACATCTTCATCCAAAGCAGGGTGAGACGGTCCCTGGAGGAACTGGGGTTAAGGGTTTTGCTTCAGGACCCAATGGTGACATCACTCTGCCCACCCTGGGATCTGAACCAAGGACCATCTGATCACTGGCACAGCATTCTTTTCTAGAGCCTTGCACATGTCACATCTGGCTGTGAGGTATGCTGGCCGTCCGGCATATGAACTATCAACGTCTAAGTGGTCATGAGTCAGGTTCCGTTTTATTTGAATCCTTAGGGGTTGTATGTTTGTCTGATATGATAGGAAAACAATCAAATCAAAGTTGTTTACTAAATTATATATTGTACTTCGAGATTTCAGCTTTATTTTATGATTTTTAGACAGATTAACCAATTAAAAATAAAAACATGCAATTGTAAGTTATATCTGGGCTTCTTGTTCTCACCTCCATCAGCATGATAACTAGGTCATTTTTATTAATGTAAGTTCAATGCAATTCAAAGTATTGTTTTAAAAGTATATTTATGCAATTCATATTTTTAGTCGACGTGAACACTTTCATCGTTACACATTAAGCATATAGATCAATTAAGTTCCTAACATCCGTCTAACGAAGCCATGGCATCTGAACCAAGATACAGATCAAGTACTCAAGTACTGATCGATGACAGAGTAATATTCAGTCAAATTTGCATAGATGCACCAAAATGCATTTGGTACTGTTCATCGCCTTTTAAGATGCTACAATGTTAAAATGGCCCTGAATCACACTTGTGCCTGGAAATTTCCTGGTCTGTCACGGGTCGACAAAATAACCCTGGAGACTAAATCAAATTCCTACATGTTTCTTATAGCAATGCACAGCTACGGATTCAGAAAACCAGACACATAGATAGTGATCGATAACAAGCCTAATGGGGACTCAGAGTTTAATGGCCTCAGACTAGGCCATTAAACTTAAATCTTAACCCCAGAAAAAATAATGACATCATGTCGTTCTGCGTATCTCTCAGGCCAAGAGCTGCAGGTGCCTGTTTATAACATAATTCCTACCTCTATGCTGGAAGTAATTTGTTTTGGGAAACCGAGAGTGAAAATGATTTTACTCAAGAGATGAATGTGAGCGTATCTCTTTAGTGAAATGCCAAAATTACATGGCAAACAACCAGAGGATGTGGAACACCTGTCAAACACTGCAAGAGCACCCGACAGTTCCAGTAATTTCTGACAGGTTTAGAAGTCATCCAGGAGCCAAATCATCATCACATGCAGTTAAAACACTCATGTCAGGAATAGCTCACCAAATACTGTATGATGTTTTGCCCCCTTCCTCAGATATTAAGCAACATCCGTCCATGTTGCATCACAAAAAACATTAGCATAAGACCAACACAGCCAAGCAAATCCATCAGCTCATTCATCTTTTTGATAATATTTCAACTTCTTTTCTCTAACTTACCAACAGAGTGTGACTGCATGTGTGTTTATGTTCTGCCATCATCCTACCCTGAGTATCTCTTGTGTTTAGGATTAGCTTGCATGGGCTCCGGGATCACTGCAGTCCTATTCTTTATAAGCAGCTGTGGAAGATGGAGGGATGGATGGATGGATGATGGACGGACGGATGGATACTGACTATTTAATAATAATAGGAGTATTGTTCAAATACAAAAAAATAACGATTGGGGGATTACTGTATATAACAGTCAAAAAAACAGTCACGATTCCTTAAGATATTTTCAGATCATGATATCAGAAAAACAGACCACCATAACTGGCGCTGACAGTGCTTATCCAGTCACCATTTTCCTGGGGAGGGAGGAAATGAAGACCGCAGGCCCCAAATCCTCAATTAACCAGTAATGGAAAGGGAATTATGTGAGGGGATGAGGGATTACGTGTTGGGATGAGGGACGATGTGACGGGATGCGGGGGTGATGTGATGGAAAGAACAATGTTATGAAATTTCAAATTATGAGTAAAAATTGGGCTCATTGAACGCATGTTTTTGGACATTGTAAGTAACATTGTAAGTCAGGCAGAAACACCCACCATCTTACAGCAGAACTATAAATCAAAGCTTCTGACTTAGAAGGAATTGTCTATTGAGGTAATCTTTACCAGCAGCGCTGTGAAGCGGAGGCGGGAGATGAGGCGTATATGTGCTGGGAAACCACGGAGACAAAACATTAAGCGATAAACCACTGCTCAGCAGTTTCAAGTCCGTTTTGCAACCAGGGTGTTCTTGTATGTTTCTAATGTGAAATAGAGAGGGGAAAGGAAATGGAGTTTTTTCTGTTTATTCAAACACAGCCGCAATAAGATTTACCATGCTGAGTACTTGTTTCATGACCTGCTTTCTGCGTCTCACCTCTGCTTGCTGTGCTGGTTTCTCTCTCTAGTGATCTGGATTCGGCTATTTGCCCCGTCCTTCCCATATTGACTGCTGCTTACGTTTGGGGCACGTATTTAAGCCATGATTTGGATCTTTAAGAGTATGGTTCTGGAAATGAACTGAACTACAGCATATGTTCATTCAATATAGATATAATACAGGCACAAATTCATGTATTAAACTTGCAGGTTTAAACCTCGCCCGAAATTTGTTTTGCTCGTAACCAGACACAGTAAGGAGCAGAAGGCAGTCAAAGGAAATTGTGTTTATCTGGGCAGTAGGTGAGTATTTGCTCCAGAATATAAAAACACAATAATTCAATTATAAGTAAGAAGAATGTATTCTATTTGTCCAAAACTGATATCTTGGATCTTGGGTGACTAGGATAGCAAAGCTTTGGATTCCAAACCTCTCCTTGCTGGTGCACAAATATTTCTTGCATTTGGCAAATCTCACCACTACCTCATTTAATTAACTTAATGAATTATTTAACTTCATGAGGTATTGATTAGCCAAACAAGTTGTGCTAGTGGTCAAGGTTACATATACAGATAAACAGGCATATTGGATGGTTGGATTTGGATGGTTGTATGACTGTAAATGCTTGATTGTCTTGAAGTGAGGTTTGCTTACAGGCATAAAACTGCAATTTAACAACAGAAAAACAATATTCATTGATGGCCTAATGCATTAGCACGGTGCTGTATATTGGTTTAAGGTCATGCAGTTGAACCTTCCTTGGAAATTCCTTTTGCTTGTCTCCCTTTTGTACAAATGAATTCATGGTTTTAATCAAAATTTAGCTGCAAAGAACAGAAACCAAAAAACACTTTTGCCGCGGGATATTGGCCATATTTTCTAGAATATGATTTTCACTGCTGTTTTAAAAAAAAAAAAAATAGTTTTTGGGAACAGGAAGTTCCTTGCGTTGGTTGTTAATTAGCTTAATTACTTTTTGTGTCCCACTTACTGCTCTGTTACAGTGCCTCTATTCATATATGAAAAAGAACCGGCATTGTGTCCTATACATAAGAATTCCGAGTGGGTCTATTATTTTTTCAAAACAAATTTGAGTAAAAAAAGAAACAGGTGGGGCTGTTTACATCTGTGCCAGATCTGGTCTGGAAGGAAATTTGTGATTAATGATCTTAGATTAGGAAAGATGTCAGTTGCCAGATTATCCATACATAATGCAATGATGCTATGGAACATATTTATCAATTTTCATCCAAGAACAGCATCACCTCCAGTGAATTGACATCTGTAAATTCCACAAAATCTCCGTCTGTGTGTGTGTGTAAGGGACTGACTTCCCATTCAAGGTGACGCCCTTTCTTGTGTCCTGTGCTTCTTGGGACGCCAAACTCACTGCAGCCTTGTTCTGGAGAAGTGATTATGGATAATGGGTAGACACACAAGATCATCACTTCAAATCCACCTGGCCTAATATTGCGCAAATCCCCCTTGTGCTGCCAAAACAGCTCGGACCCATCGAGGCACGTGCTCTGGAGATGTCCTGTGGTATCTGGTCCTGTGGTATCTGGTACTAAGACATTGGAAGCAGATCCTTTGAGTCCTGTAAGTGCACCTTGCGGGGTGGGGTCTCCGTGGATCGCATGTATTTTTCCAGCACATCTCACAGACGCTCGATCGGATTGAGATCTGCGGAACTGGGAGGCCCAGTCAACACCTTGACCCTTTTTCCCCAACGTGCCTCAAACCATTCCCGAATTCTCACAGTGTGTCATGGCACATTATCCGGCTGAAAGAGGCCACTGCCTTCGGAGAATACAACTTAGTCTACAACACATAAATCTATGACACTGCCTTACTGATGGAAAGGGGACACTGGACATGGGACTGCACCCTCATTACTGTCGGTTTTCCACTGCATCTCACTCCCACCTAGAGTAAATAAACACTTCAATGGGCCCCTTTAGGTATCATGGGAACCAGTGACAGGGGGAACAAGTAGACGAGAAGTTTTCAGCCATATTTGAGTTGAATGTCTGAATAGTTGCCGGCTGACAACTTTCAGAAAGCTGATCCATTTTTTTTTGCCTTGTTTAATTAAACAAAAAAATAATCTAATTAATGAATCTGTCCACCTTCTGAGAGAAGGACTAGCTAGCATGAGTGTGTCCTCTAACTTTAATAGCCTAACCCTCCCTGCTATTCTAAAACATGCCCTTGCTTCAAGGCACAAGACTTTGGGTCACT